ATATTAGAAATTGAAAAGAAAGAGAAGTATTTGAAGAAAAATTTATTGTTTTTTTGAATAATACTATATGTATAATTACCTATATATAGATATTTGGAAAAAAATGATATAAGAAAAATTAATGAAAAAACTATCACGTGAGTCCCATATTTTGTAAGAAAAAAAAATATTACTTAATACCATTTCAATGAAAACTTTATTCAATACTACTTCCATTCAACTTTAGTAATTTTAATTTGATTTTTTATTTTTTTGACATGAATTTAATATTAAAATTTAACATATTAAATGAATAATAATTAAATTTTTTTTATCAAGTAGAAATATTCAATAAAAACTACATATAAGAGCAAAAATTAGTTTAATCATCATTCATTTAAATTATTAAATTTTTATATAAAATTTACATCTGAAAAATTAAAAAATTAAACTAAACTTAATAAAATTAAAGAGAAGGAGTGCTATTTCTTCATTACGAAAATGATTGACATTCTACTCTAACTTTATTTCTAAACCTTATTTTCTTTAGAGCATGTACCTCAAACTTTTTCTTTTCTTTTCTTGTCTTTTCTTTTCTTTCTTTTCTTTATTTATGAAGCATGTACCTCAAACTTAGAATCTATAATAACATTTTTTTTATCGGTGAAAAAAAAACAACATAATCGAGCTTTAGGCTCTAGCTTATTATGTTTATGAGGTGGAAGAAGAACAAAACAAGCACAACCAAAAACCTTAAGAAAATCATAGGTAGGAGGAATACCATGCAAACATTTGTATGGAGACTTATTATTGATGACTGATGATGGAATCTGATTAATGAGATAAACAACTATAAGAGTAGCTTCACCCCAAAATCGCTATGAACAAGAAGACGAAATAAGCAAAGGACGAACAGAATTAAGGATATGTCTGTGTTTACATTTGACTCACTCATTTTGTTCAGAAGTGTAAGGACAAGATTGTTGTGTTAGTGTACCTTGTTCTTTCAAAAACGATTGAAGTTTAGTGCTAAGATATTCAGTGGCATTGTCAGTTCTCAAAACTTTGATAATTTTAGAGAATTGGTTTTGACCATAGTAGCAAAATCAATATAAATTTGTAGTAACTCATAGTGATTTTTCATAAGATATATCCAGGTAAGACAAGTACGATTATTAATAAATAACACAAAGTACCTGGATCCTCCCATGGTAGGTGTTAGAGATGGACCCCAAACATCAGAATGCACGAGATCAAAAGAAGTAGCAAAAAGAGAATGACTATTAGTAAATGATAAAGTTGGTTGTTTTTCAAATTGACATGACACACAATGCAACGATTCATTCGAAACAGATCCTAATAAACCACGAGAGATAA